GGGATACTCTGATTTATGTTTATGGTTTTGAGAAAATATGTTTTTATATAAATTATGGATTTAGAATGGTTTTAAAATGAAAAAATTGGTCATGATTTTGGGATGTTATAGGCTTGGAGGAGTGAGGTTGACTTATCAAGGGGTTAATCGATGTGGCGTTTGAGTTATTTTCTAATAGGGAAGTATGAAGAGGCGGGGTAGTTCATATGAACCAACTTGGGTTATTAACTTAATTTTTTTGCCACCACCTCTTATAAGCTTGTTCCTCATTCCATTACATGTATCATTCTCGATTCCTCTCCTATCATACGGCTATTATTGTCTAGATTTTATCACCAAACATATCACTATCTTTGTCATATCATATTTTACAAAAATTACTTTCATTATTATTATTATTTTCACCTCACTTCATCTCTATGTGACTACATAATATATGGCACTTTAGATGATGAGGTGTCCCCATTCATTCCTTCTCCCCTGACATTCTATAAGTGATTATTTTTTGGTCCATCCATCAACCCTCCTTGGCCTCAACGAACCTTTCCATGTCCATATAAGCTACTATGTCACCCTCTTGTATTCCTATCATTCCCCCTTTCTTTTGTTATACCATCCATTCTGCATTTCTATTGGATCCTATATTAATTCATCTTTATGACCATAAACTTATCAAATTTTTATTCTTTCAGCCATCATAGTACTTTCTTCATTCCCATGTTTGATGTTTAGGCTTTGTGCGACCCTCATCAGAAAGCTACAATGGTTTTTTAAAATATCTTACATGGTTTTTAATGGCATGTGGTATTTGTTCCTCGACATTATTGGTCATGAGTGGATCTTGCATCTCAAAATTTATTGCCATGGTAACCTAGACTACTACAAGGCCCTCTTAGTGGCCCAATGATTCTCTCAGCTGTTGGGTTATAGGGTATTCTAAACACATGATCATAACAACAGAAGACTTAGGCTGTGTTTGGCGCGCCACAGCTAGCTGATAAGCTAGCTTATTTTTCGAGCTTTTTTATGTTGTCGTGTTTGGTAAGCCAAAAAGTAGCTTATAAGCTAGCTTTTTGAAAAGCTACTTAAACTAGCTTTTTAGGAGCTTTTTTAAAATTTTCCAAATACACCCCTTAATTAATTATAGAAACACATACTATTACATGTCCTTTTATGTAATTTTATATATTTCAGCTAGCTTTTCAGCTAGTTTTACCAAACGTTATTTTTTATCAGCTAGCTTTTCAGCTAACAGCTAGCTTTTCAGCTATCAGCTAGCTTTTCAGCTAACAACTAGCTTTTCAGTTAGTATGCCAAAGATAGCCTTAACAAAATCTTATATGTTCATGCAACTTATGAGGATCTAAGTTTCATTCTATTATTTACAACTACTAGAGTAATAATAAAATTACACATACCTCTTTTGTATCTAGGTATCTTCTTCCAAAGAGAGGAAGGGGAGGAGAGGCGAACTTTTTCAGGGGATTAGGAGCACACCTAGGGTTTGATCATTACCTCCCTATTTATAAGGCCCAATTTCTTAACTCTAAAGCAACTCAAATATTATGGATAATCCCTATACATTTTTGTCTATCTTAATCCTATAGGGATTCTAGAATATTTCAATTAACTAATTTATAATTGATTAACATTCAACCCCTTGAATTAATTATTTCCAAATTAATTGCAAAATAGTTTCTAATTAATTTATCAAAACATGACAAATTAATAAACTAATTTCTCCTAAATAATTATTGTTGTCTTTTAATTGCTCAAATGGGTCATCAGAACAATCCAAAAGAACCTTTCTATTATTTGAAATATTACTAATGGTTAATGACCTTGGATATTTTTTCCAACAGTCTCAAAATCACGGTTTGGAGTTTGATGACATCTCCAACCACATAGTAAATCTTGTCACTATTTGTACCATTATTAGCATTGTCTTCTTGAAACACCCCTCTTTTGATTTTGTATTTTTAAAACTATTTAAATCATTTTTAAAAGTAAATAAAGATCATCCAAGAAAATTGATCCCAATATTTCAAAAGTACTCAAATAGTTTAGTTTAAAAGAGGTTTTAGAGGAGGGTCATCGATTTAAATATCATTACATAAGATAAGCTACCATAACATAATAGTGGCCTTCAAAGATCCAAAATCCTCTAAGCCTTAGTCTGTACTCGCACCTGAATACATGTCAAAATAGTAGGTTAGGTATTTAGAATGTCTATTAAGTAATATCGAGATTTCATGACGTTTATAGTCAAGGAATCACTCATTTCTTGACCTATAATGTATCCCTAAAATCATTTGAAAACATTTAACTATTTTGTATAAAAAATCATTACTCTTTACTCATTTGAAACGTTACTTAAAAATCTTAAAATTCCTTTATTAATCAATGTTTTAATTCTTAACTATTTTTAAATAAAATCTTTTCATCTTTTCTCTTAAAAAGTACTTTGAAATCTTTAACTTATTTTATAAACTCTTACTCTTTTCTCTTTAAAACACTTCAAAGATATGAAAATCTTTGATTAAACTTTATACTCTTTTCTCTTTGAAGCACTAAAATCGTAAAAAAATTACCACAACTCATTACACTTTTAATCATGCACTTTTACTCTGTTCTCTTTTAAACACTTTGAAAATGAATAAACATTCATATATCACATAAATGGAAAGAATGTAATACAACATGCAGCTACACCCAATCTCGTTCCTCTTTATGCCCCACTCATATTTTCTCTTTTCATGATAGCAATAGAGACTATGGAGTAGCTAGTACAAAACCCACTACAACATGACTCCTCTCATTTTTATTTGGTCTCTCTATGGGTACGGGTATGATATCAATCACTGGTATCATACTTTAGGTAGTTAGACTTAAATAGACATGAGGCATATCTATAATACCACACACTCTTGGTTCTCTATAGTTATTATTTGTCATGAACTTTGGAGGGACACACAAGTCTTTTCCCACTCTTATATGAATGCATATATTCATGTTAAAACTTTTTAAATCGTTTTAACTCTTTAATCTTTATCAAACACTTCTATGAAATCATATTAATGAAATACAAACATATCACATAATGAAACACATAACAAGTAATTCACAAAGAATCTTAAACATTTTCACAATTTTGGAACATCTTTAGTGTTGTTTAATGGGACATGGATTCGATAATACTCAACTCAGTGTGAACCAAGTTGTTCTACTTCACTTTCAAAATATGCAAAAGTTTCTAACACACCATTTTTTCCTCTAGAATGATGTAGTAGTTCAAGTGTCACCTAATAACATCAAAGAGTAAGTCAAAACTCTATTAAGTGATCTATTAAGTTAATTTTTAATTTCTTAATCCTTAATATAAAATTTTATTGTTTTGTCATCTTCCATATGTTATAACATAAGCGTAGACGATAATTTGAAGACCAAGTGCAAAAGTTATGTTTGTTACAAGTTTTGGTCTTAAACACCAAGTTTCACACATGTCGCGTGAGTAGAGGCTCTGGCCGCATGAAACGAGTTGTAAGGTCTAAGTACACCTATTATAAACCAAATACCTTATTTTCCATCTATAAATCTTTAACTAACATCCTAATAAATCATGAAAGTTTCAGTCAATGGAATCCATGGAATGGAATTGAGGATTCAATCCATAAAGTTCCTCCAAGCCTGATCTATTAAAATCGCTTCAAGTTATTCGCACCATAATTACTCTATTGTTAAAACAACAATCCAAATCATATGCACCATAATTACTCTATTGTTAAAACAGCAATCCAAATCATATAAAATATGATTTAAATTGTTGAAATCATTAATGTCTTGTAATGTTTTTATTTTCAATTAAAATGTAATGTTGTTTAAATTTTATGTTTTATAAAATTATTTTGTTTATTTATTAAAAAGATAAAAAAAAAGAAAAAAAAACATTGAAATTAAAATATTGATAATTTTCTATGGTATGAAAAAATGACATGACATGATAAAAAATAATATAAAAATTACGAGTAAGTTTTAGTTTGTCTTAAAAGTTGATAATTTTTTATCAAAAAAATAATAATTTTTTTATAACTTATTATTGTTTACTTTCTTTAAATAAACAATTATTTTTATTACCGTCTTCAACTTATTTGTTTTCTTTTTCTATTGACCACTCAATATATATTATTATATATTATTGAGTTGTCAATATATTTCTATATTTTGTCATTTATCACCCTTATATTTTAGTTATATTTCAATTTAGTTAACTTTATATATATATATATATATATATATATATATATATATGTTAATCATTGGAAAAATTATTTAATTAAAGGTAAAAGTTTTTGGAATGATGATGTTGCAATAGTTTTAAGTTTTAATATAGTTTTTAAGTTTTAATATAGTTTTTAAGCTTATTGTATTTTTAAGGTTCATATGTAATTTAAACACATAAGCTATGACGGGAAGTTTTATAATATTTAACAAAAAAAATACTTTATATAGTTATTTTTAATATCCTATATTTTAATTCAACTAAAACTTCAAACACATGACCTATTGGAATTTGGAAGATTACATTATGAATACCATAAATCCATAATACCAACTAAAACTTCGAAATGGAGAAAATATTACAATAAAAACTTGTACATTGACCAACATCTCATTTCATAAGACAAAACAAACACATTATTATTTTGATTCCGACAGCTTTATACAATTTCGTAACTTCTCTTATTGTACCCTAAAATAACAAACAATGCACTTTAGCATTTAATATATGTGAAGCGTATAGTGGAAAACCTCCTAATGCATATGTATGTTATTAGTAATTTTTAATGAAAATTTAATATTATACCCACTTACAAATGATGCAAAACGTAGCTTTCTTCTACCATAAGTGATAAGACTTCTAATTAAAGCATATAAAAAGACAATTTTTAAAATTCATAATAAAGTTTCACACTTTATTCTATGAATATCACAAATCTTGAGCTTGATTGGTTTGCAAAATTCGGATTACGGAATAACATGGGAATGGGATCCATTCATCTTAAATCAAACTAAGCTGAAATAGGCTTATATTCATAAAAGAGAAATTCTTTTTGGAAAAAGAAAAATGACATTTTTCTTGAATTAACAATTTAAAGATAAAACTCTAAAAGGCCAAAAAAGTCCAAGAAACTTCTGGTACTTGGTCCACGTTTCCCGACAAGAAGGGATTAACATGCCACGTGACTCATCTGGCACGTGCCACTCTCTTCTCCTCTCCTCGTGTGAACTTAACCACATTACACTTTTTTTCCACCTTCGTAAGCTCTTCTTCGATCTAATTAAGCATATTACGATCTGACCGTTGACATTGCCTCAACATCCACGTAGATTCCTGATTATCAACATTACTACTACCATTATCGTTTTGATCCAACGGCTCAGATTTCACGTCTCCTCCAGGCTGTCGAAGCCGCAGCTCATTATACTGCTCCGCCGCACCGCCACCTCCCGACACTCCCTCCCTCGACCGTTTCACACCCTATTGTCACACCGAATAATCTCGGGCTCATCTCATCGGGTTCCGTTGTTTCTAGGTAATCACCATCGTCGCCGGCGCGACCTAAACACTCATCGGCTAACCGCTTTAGAGGTAACAGATCTAGTGGTGTCATGGTGGTGGTCGTCGTCGTCACCGCCGCCTCCGGCTCAGGTGGTGATTGCTGTGAAGTGCTTCCTTCCGACGGTTTATTCTTCGCGTAGCTAGACATCATCACGTAGATGTTGGAGCAAAGATTCTTCATCTGACTCAACTCTTTATTGAGTTCGACGTTTTCTTTCTTTAGCCTCTCGTTTTCACCGACAAGCTCGGCGTTAGTTCCTCCGGAAGCTGTTGTTTCTCGAGATAAATTAGTTGTAGCGCCTCGAGATGAGTTGGATGACACGACTTGTTCTTCGCCTGAATCGCAAGGTGATATCATTCCAAGCGGCGGAGACAGCACCGGAAGCACCGGAATAGCTGCAACCGCGGGCGATGGAGCAGGTACCTGTTGTTGTGCCGTTGGAGTTGCCGCAATCTTACGACGTTGTATATCACACAGCAATCGTTTCTCTCCTCTACGAAAACAATCATTAGAGAACTCCCATCGATCAGGCACAACCTTCCTGAATCCCTGTCAACATAATCGATCGAATTTAAAGAAATGATAGATCGTATCTAACTGTTGGATTGAAAAAGCAAAAACCATATCACTCAACTTTTTTGCAAGAAGAAATCTAATTATGCTAGACCTGAAATCTTACATAGGTATTTAGCTGACGGACAAAACTGGAGAAATTATTGTGTTTAAAGTACTTGGGTAGCAAATCCTTGGCAAATTCAGTTGGATTCCAGACGATGAACGTAGATCCATCTTCGTTCCAGGAAATCACATCGTCAATCGCCTTATCATCAACAAGCTGGTATGTTTTCGTCAAAAACGGTGTCGGAAGAGATCTAGCAGCCGCATCCCCTCCAGCCGAATCCACCGGTGGCGGAGCCATAAATCACCTCTAAGCAGCTACACCATACCAAAACAACAAACATGAATCTAAATCTCAACAAACAAAAAAAAAAACAAACGCAACTAAAAAATCTAAAAAAGAAAGAAGCTAAAATCAAAGGAACGTTAACTACAACAGGTCTTACCGATGAATCAAGTGTTTCGAGAATGCATGTATGGTGACAGATCGAGCAGCAGGTTTGAGGATTCCAGAAAGTTCCGTGTAGGAAGATAGATCAGACTTGAAAGAAGGTAGGAGTGGAAATGGTGGAGAGAGAGAAAAAAAAATATAGAAAGGAAAAAGAAGGTGAATTATTATTGAATTGAATTGAATAGAATACATTAGAGTTGAGGAGGAAGAGGAAAGAACGAGAAGGTACCGCAAAAGAGAGAATACAAATTCGAGAAGTTTCTCCATTGGATTGGATTTTAATACGTATGTGTCAAGCGGTTGGACGCTCGATCAAACCATCGTGATCATCAATTCAACACCACCACATTATCAGCTTTGGTCCTCACTTTATCCAATCATCTCTTCATTTTGTATTTTTCATTTTATATATTTCAAATTACCTAACACTCTACAACCATTAATGATAATATATATATATATATATATATATATATATATATATATATATATTTCCTCTTTAAACGACTAGATTTTATCGAAATGTAGCCTTCCTAATTCCTATGATTGCTGTGGGGTTATTATTAGCGATTGTTATTAAGTTTAAGAGTAATTTTGTCTTGTAAATCCTCCTATCCAATTAAATAATGACATGTTTTATATTAATATATTATTAAATTTCATTAAATAGCCATTAAATATTATACATGTCACTATTTAGTTGGATAAGAATAGTTGTACGAATAAAAAAGTAAGAAGATGTTTAATTTCTCTAAGTTTAATTGTTTTTAGTATTATTATTATTAGATGATACATGGGGTGTTTGAGGGGCAAAACAGGAAGTTGCTAATGGTTCAATTATATATATAAGGCTAGTTTAATGTGTTTTCTTACATTTATTTTATGTTAGAATGCACCAATAAAAATTTAATAAAATTAAATAATTGTTTAATTAAATAAAGATAGATATTAAATGATTTCCATAATTGTATGTATATTAAATCATATCCATAATTATAATTTTCTTTTTATGAAAACTAATTAAATTTATTATTAATATCAACAATAACATTCTTTCAGAATTAATTTGCATATAGGTTTTTATGTATGGGTTCGTGTTTTGTTTCAGGACCGACTCACTTAAAATACAATAAAGTTGCATGGAATATGAAGAATACACTCTTTTATTGCTAGAATACACTCTCATTCTTCTAGATACGAATTCATTCTGAAAGAATATTATTGTTGACATTAATGACGAATTTAATTAGTATCCATAAAAAAGAATTATAAGTATGGATATCATTTACTATACATATAACTATGGAAATCATTTAATATCTATATTTATTTGATTAAATAATAATTTAATTTTACTAAATTCTTATTGGTGCATTCTAGCACACAATAGATGTAAGAAACATTTAAACCTACCTACCTATATATATAGATATATATATATATATAATATATATATATATATATATATATATATATATATATATATATTCTCGTTAATCCTAAACATGTAAGGATATTTAAATTCTCAATTATAAGATGAACTATGTGTTTATTCATTAAATTTATTTTGTGTTTCATATCCAATTGAATGTGGAAATTGTTAAAAAATTACCAATATCACCAAGTATAATGGGTTTTGTCGGTTTCTTGTATCTTTTCCGGTCAAACACAAGTTTTTCAATCAAGCTTAAGAGCTAAGGAAATGACTTATTTTGTTTCTTTCCTACATCATTCGCGTTCTGTCTCAAGTAGTTGGAGTAGTGGTAGAGAACATGCATATACATATATTCTATTTCATCAAGATAAACACTCGACTGAAACCACGTTGCTTGTTTGTCTAGCGTTACTGCTCATGAAGAGCTAGATCCATAACATTCACACCTGGCTACTCGCTATGTTGTAGATTTAGTTTCAGGGTTCGTTTTGACTGATTCTTTAGTTGAAGCAATTGATGCCCTAACTTAATCCGACTTACTTTTACTACTTTCTATTTTTATAAGTAGTACTTGATCCTGTAAAAAGGTTAAAGGGATAGGCTTGATGCCGGATCCACTTTTAAGGTTGACTCAACAGTTAAAGATGGTTGTTTTCATCTTCTCCGACCAAGTATAAATTTCCAGGCCATTTTTCTTTTAAATTTAGAGTTTTCATTGAAGAACAAAAAAAGGAAAAGAAGAAATAACATTCAAGATGTATGTTCCTGGCGTTTATGTCTACAAAATCGAATCTGGAACCATAACCTATACAAATCTAAAACCAACCCACTTGTACATACATGATACCACTTATACATACATGATACAATCTGGAACAATACACATGTTTAAAAAGAAACCATTCTCGATGAACACACACATGAAAACACACATTCGATTTCAAATATGCTCAAGATCAAATATGCTCAAAATAAAAGATGGATCACAACATACACATTCATTTAAGGTCTTATGAAACCCTAAAATTGAAAATTGATGTATGAAATACACTGAAATTGATGTGTTTCATAGAAGATATAAGAACAAGAGACAAGAGATAGAGGGGGGGGGGTCTAAAAAATGATACTTTGCCAAAAAAAAATTCATATTAAATCGGATAATATGACAGGAAAACTCATGTCTGGCTGGAAAAGACATAGGAATCATAAAAACACACTATACTCGGGAATATTGTACCTTTTGAACAATTACAACAAGTTTAATGGTATATCAAGCACAAAAATAAGTTTAGTGACTAAAAGTGTACAAAATCTAAATTTGGTTACACTTACAAGTCATTATCTCGCCCCCATGATAGGAGCCTAGCAGTTGAGGTGCAAAATTCTACACAATAGGTCTATGGTTTAAACCCTGACATGCCTAAAATATCACTAGTGTTTTGCGATTGACCTCCCACGTGGACCTTGTGGCTACTTGACATGTGTTGCTCAGATGGTGCACAAAAAATTTGTGAACTTTTCCATATACGGTATTACCATGTAACCATCCAAAACTATAATGATAAATTATTAACGGTCAAGAAAGTATTTATGGATTTTGAAAAAAATGAAAAGAAAAATTAGCAATTTGTAACGCCCGTAGATTAGGGCTAGTCAATTTAGAGACGATAAGCGTCAAAAATGATTTTTTGATGAAAGATTATTTAGAATGAATAATCTTAACTAAGCTATAGTATATGTTACAAGGATTTCGTACATATAAAGAACGCCGAAATCCGAGTTATAACGAAGAAGTTATGACCTGTCGAAGTTTCGCGACAGAACCGGCATGACACAGCGCGACGTAAATAGTGAATTTATGTTAGAGAGATATTTAGCCTTAGCGATCTAAACGAAAGTTGTAGAGTTCGTTACCGTGAGCATGCATAAAAAGAGCGTCCAAATCTGACTTCGTATGAGGAAGTTATGATTTTTCTAAGTTTCGACTTAGCGGTATGCAGCCCGAATACTCGATTTGAGATCGAGCGGTTTTTAGCCGAAACAATCTAAACGAGAATCGAAGATCTTGTTGATAGTAGTGCAACGGTAAAAAGACAGAAGAAAACGGACGTCGGATGAAGAAGTTATGAATTTATAACGGAGTTTTCTTGTCCCGGCCTACTAAAAATAAATAATAAAAATAAAGTCAAAATTAGCCGACGGAGTTTAAACAAAAGTTGTAGAGCGTAGTATCACCTACGCGTGGATATAAAGAACGTCGAAAACGGAGTTCGTATGAGGAAGATATGAATTTTTGAAGTTTATTAAATAATTAAAATATTAAATTTAATTATAAATTTCGATATTATCCGAAGGGGGGGGGGGGGGGCAGCGGCCTTATCCACATTACGCCCAGCGTAACTCTAATTACGCCTAGCGTAATTCCAAGAATCAGCCCCTATATAAAGGGTGCGAGGGCAGCCGAGTTCCTTGCTCAATTCCTCTCCTCTCTCTCCCGTTTTACCTTGATTTTCGTGCAAGAAATATCCCAAAGCCCCGGTATCATTCCCAAGACCCGAAGCAAGTCCCGAAGCCCCGAAGATCCTGAGAAGTGTGATTCCCGAGCCGAAGCTCTGCCCGCGAGAAGCTAATTTTTGTGAAGATCTTCCAGATCTACCGAAGAATACTACTTCTACAAGTCGTAATGCTGTCCGATCATCTTCTAATCAAGTGAGTGTGTGGTCACTTTCTTCTAACACATAAATATTAAGTATTTGCTATGAAATACGTGCTATGTGTATAATATATTGTTGTTTATTTGAGATGATTGTGGAATGGATGAATTATATAAGTTTTAATGAGTTAAACTATATATGTATTTTGTATCTAAAAATATGTTGGGTAGAACGTGGGTAGATGAGGTTGTTGGTAGGTGATAAAAGATGGGTTGGACCATGAGATAAAAGGATAAAGAGATAAACTTGTTTTAGATCTGGATGTATGGATCAGATCAGGAGGTTAGTTTTAGATCCGAGAGTATGGATCAGATCAAGAGGTTAGTTTTAGATCCGAGAGTATGGATCGGATCAAGAGGTTAGTTTTAGATCCGAGAATATGGATTAGGTAATGAGGCAAATGTAAGATCTGGGAGTACGGATTATGTATTTTTGAACTACGTGTTCATTCGATAAGGTATCATGTGTATAGTCCCTTTTAGGAACGTGATTTTAATAAGAGTATTGATTAAAGTATGAAATATATATATGTATGTGAAGTATTTGTTATTGTCCGAAATACGTGTTAGATATATTTGATGATATACAACGTGCGAATCAGATATGGTTCAATATGTGTTAAGATGTGTATATATGATATTATTACTTAAAACCTTGTGTTAAGTATACACTAGTTGGCGTTGCCTAAACGGAGATAGTATCAAAAAAATTGATTATAAGTATTGTAGGTTTGCCTAGTGATGGGTTAAGACTTAAATGGGATGTTTAGTTCAATTAAGTTTGGACATTGGGTAGTCTCTATTTAAGAGTACGTGCGTTGCGAGATTGATGATCGGTGGAGTACGTCCTACGTACAGAAGTACATTTTATGTACGAAGTCCTTTTCAAAGCTCTGTGTCTTGGGTGCTGCTTGTGCCAGGGTACTATTATGTTCTCGGGTACGAGTCTTTCGCATACCAGAGTACTATAATGTGCCAGAAGTACTATCATGTACAAAGTCTTTTTGACAATTTTGTGTGTCGGTTACGGGATCGTACGGGAGTACTCTAGTAGTATTTCCCCATACTTTTATTTTGAGAGAGCTTTGGAGTCAGCGTTTCTTCTATGAAGTAATCGACCGAGCTTCATATGTCAGCGTTTTCTTTCACGAAGTAATTAAGGGAACTTCGTAGACTGCCTAATAAAGTGTGTCGGTAATAGAGCACTACTAGGTATGT